CAAGATAAGCACTTTCATTGATCGCTGAACGGCGTCAACTCCCACTCAGTTGGCACTTCAAGGGTGCATCTCAGCTCTAGATGAAGCACAGTTCACTTTGCCAAATGATTCTCAAAGGCAAAATTGAAACCCGCCTGCAAAAGTCCTTCTGTTGAGAACGTCGAATCCAGTTCTACCTACACAGCGGTACCCAGAATCGAACTCAATAAAGCTGTCTGCATAGTCTTGTCAACGGACGAATGACGGATATTCCCAAACAGAAATGTTTGCTGAGGTTCGAATACGTATACAAAGACGTGAAGTTCTGGAACGAAATCTTAGATAAGACTTCAACTTCTAGCCTCAACTGGGTCTATGTGTCAGGACATCCAAAACTGATACACGCTCCATTAGAACCTGGCTCGACGGTGGAACGAAAACCACAGGTCATCTATCATTATCATTAGGCTCCAGCACAATGTGTTAGACTGACCAGTCAAGAGACTTTCTAAGCAGAACAATCCCATGTTCGTCCAATTGCAATGATGTCCCTTAAAATCATTCCTCTTCCTCCTTCCCTACCTCCTCACCATTACATACAAAGGGGCTGTACCTCAGTTGGTAATGTCAAATTCCACTTGTGAGCTGCGTACGAGTGATGGCACATGCTCTGGCTAACATTCGAGCAAGCTGTTCCCTTACCATGAGAATTTAACAGACGGTTCTTGTCGCGTCATGTGCAGAGCCGGAACAGCAATCACCACGTTTCCATCCCGCACATCTACGACAAATTGGTTGCGGTCGACTACCGGCAGCTAATTCGGAGGAATACTGCATTTGAGAGTGGCCACCCGCTGATCAAGTCTCTTCTGCATCTGTTGCACACGGCCCATCTCAATCTCATTGGTGCGGAATCGCTTGAGGTTCGAGGCCAGACGGAACTTGGACCAGATCCATATAGCCCATTTCGTGGGATCATACTGCCACCACTCAATGCCGTTGCGATAATCCGAGGGAAACTAGCAAACCAGAAGTTACCATCAACGATACCTAGAAACCTCGAATTGGTATCCGGTCCTCAAGGGATAGCTTTACCTCGTGGTGGAAGTTATGGTAGCCCTCACCAAGTGTGACCAACGCGGTAAGAATATGGTCGCGAGGCGAGTTCCTGTCGTCAAAGGGCTAAAGCTTGTCAGCATATCAGGACCCCTTCGCCAATGCACATGAAAACTGGCCTGATCTCCCAGCCAATGCGCCAATGAATTGACACAGAAAGTTGCCTGCTGGAATAGGAACATCCTCAAGATGCCAGCATACACCAAGCCACCCTTCCAGTCGCCCCAGCCCAAGCCCGCCATGACCATCGGTAGGATCAAACCAAAGCCAAGCACAAATCTGATATAGTTCCGATGCTGCCAGACGACTACTGGATCTTCGTTCAAGTCAGAGATATCTGGCCGACCACAGTGCTTGGGGTCCTCCTTCAGTATCATCCATAGCACGTGGGAGTATAAGAGGCCCCTTCGGATATTGTAGGGGTCCTTCTCTGTGTCAGTCCATCTGTGATGGGCACGATGTTTCGCACTCCACCAGCGAATCGAGCCTTGCACAGCGCCTCCACCGGCACAGGCCAGGAAAATTCTGAGCGGTAGGCCGCTTGAAGATGGAATCCCCGTTAACAATCATGCTCGTATGTACAGATTGCCGGAGCTATGGAGCCAGTTCATATACAGAGAAGAACTCACGCTTCGTAGGTTCTATGTGACCAGAGCCGATGATAGCCCGCGGTAATACCCAGCGCAGTCCAAAAGTAGTAGAGCACAGCCCAGATGGCAGTCGGTCGTCGCAAGGGTGTAAAGACAGCGGCAATGCAGCCACATAACGGCATTATGATGATAAACGTCGTGTTGAACCAAGCAATATGGCGGTGCCAGTTGCGGAGTGTAATTGGTTGCTCACTGATGTGGGGTTTTGGAATGTCTGGCATGATACCAGCCATCCTGAGATGCGATACTACAAATATGGATGACTCAGGTATATACAGTGTGTGAAAGAACATTGCAAAGGGTTCGAATGCGAAAAAGCCTGCCTTAATACTACAGGGACATCATCACACTCGAACATGTTGAACAGTTGGGGATGTGCTACTTCCGGAGCCGAAATGCCCAAACGTCGAACAGAGCAATGGTGGTGACTGACAGCCATACATGAGCAGTCGCACAGCATGGGGCTTCATTTCCTTCTGGATCGAGTGTCAGTATGTCGCGCCTACTCCTACGGCTACTTGCACATCCTTCACCTCCTCTGTTATGCAATGCTAGCATCCTGGTCCACTATGGTGGTCGGTGACAGGGCTCATACAGCAACCTGAACAACCTAGGGAAAGGGAAAGGGAATATGAAACAAACTGCATGATAAGACAGACTACTCGACAGACTACTCCGTACCTACCTTGGAGTAACAGCAGCACAGGCTCGGGGCTCGAAGCACCCCTGCCCAAAAAGCCAGTGTTAGGACCCTACCTTACGTAATGTCCTCAGGTTCAAGGCTCCCTCAGTTTCAATCTTAGAACCTCCACCGCTCCTCTGCCTTCCTCCCATCTCTTCTTCTCCTTTGTCTGTCTTCTGAGTTAACTAACTATAAAGTATGAGTCACAAGCCTGTTCGGTTGCTGACTCTAGGATACAATACAGTTCATCTTCGATCTCCTCTTTCTCGTTCCACCTTCCCAATGGCGTTTAGCGTGTGTTCTGCCTCGCCAAGAGAGCAGACACAGCCAGACCCTGAACTCTTACAAACCCACTCGACAGGGTCATTGGCCTCGCTTCTCAGCCGTCTACCACCATGATACATGATTTGTCGTCAGTCTAAGACTCTGAAGTTGTGGAGTAATTGCTCATAGTAAGTGCAGTACGAGAGAAGAAGCAGAGAGGCCCAAGCAAACAACCTTCTCCCCACTGTGGAGCACTGAATACCACCCACTAATCGGTTGCCCGGCTAGCTTAGTATCCCATATCCATCCATTCCTTTCTCTTCCCACTTTTTTTTTCTTCTTTCGCCGCCATGCTTTCCCAGGGCACCTGTTTGTTTCGTTCGGGCATATTTGCTTGCACCTGAAGACTGGTGGCGGACTGTCCTGTGGATGGTTGCTTTTTCCTTGTAGAACTTCGACTTAATTCCTGGTGCCTTCCATCTGTCTTTTCCCTGCTGTATCTCTTTCAACTTTTATACTGGCCGTTTGAAAACACGGGAACGAAATAAGCTTCCCCCTCTGAATCGTCTGTGGTCCACCTTCCCGCCGGTACCGCAATTGATATGGCGACGAATTTCGAGTCCTCGGACAATGCGCGCGTGGAGTTTACTGCACACACCACGCGGCGCAATGACTTGAACGAAATTACAATCCCAGCATTTGAGGAGAAACAACCAGACACCCAAATAAACGATGGTCTCCCACAAGGTGCACCAACGTCGCTCGAAGGCGGTCTATACAGGCCTTCATCTGGCGAATTTCCTTCGGACGATTCAGCGCATAGTGTCCCAGTGACTGTCGGAACGACTGATGCCGATGGCAACACCTATCCTGAAGGTGGACTAGAAGCCTGGCTGGTAGTCTTTGGGAGCTTCATGGGCCTCGTTGGCTCTCTTGGTCTAGTGAATACCATCGGTACTTTACAGGCGTACATTGAGAGCCACCAACTGAAGGACTACAGCTCTGGCAGCATCGGGTGGATCTTTGGCGTCTACGCATTCCTGACCTTCTTCTGCGGCATCCAGATAGGCCCTATCTTCGATGCTAAAGGACCTCGCTTTCTTGTCTGCGCCGGAGCTGTGCTGATCATGGCGATGATGATCGCCTTGGGGTTTTGCTCACAGTACTGGCACTTCATGCTAGTAATAGGTGTTGCAGGGGGTATCGGAGCCTCGTTGCTGTTTACACCGGCGATTTCTGCCATCGGACACTTTTTCAACGAGAAGCGCGGAATCGCGACGGGCATCGCCGCAACGGGTGGCTCCGTTGGTGGCGTCATTTTCCCCCTGGCACTGGAAGCTCTATTTCCCAAAATAGGGTGGGCATGGGCAACTCGAGTCATTGCTCTCATTTGTCTCATCACGCTGCTAGCAGCATGCCTGCTCATCAAATCCCGGTTGCCCAAGAAACCGGCTTCGAAAGAAAACGTTCTTCCCGACTTCCGTATCTTTCGGGATCCTGTATTCACTCTCACAACCCTGGGGATCTTCTTTATCGAATGGGGTCTTTTCGTCCCACTCAGTTATATCTCCTCCTACGCACTGGATAATGGCGTCTCGACCAAACTGTCGTACCAGATGCTCGCGATCTTGAACGCTGGTTCGTTCTTCGGACGAGGTATTCCTGGCTTTGTTGCTGATTATCTGGGCCGCTTCAATACACTCATCGTCACGGTTGCCTTGTGTCTTGTATGCAACGCATGCCTCTGGCTTCCAGCGAGCAAGAGTGTCCCGGTTATGATTGTGTACTGTGTCATTTTTGGATTCGCAAGTGGCAGTAACATCAGTCTTACGCCAGTCTGTATCTCTCAGCTCTGCAAAATTGAGAATTACGGCAGATACTATGCCACAGCGTACACGATAGTCAGTTTTGGGTAAGGCGATTCCCCACTGTCTAATAAGGATTTTGCAGGGCTAATGAAGAGAATTCCAGAACCCTTACTGGCATGCCTATCGCTGGTGTGATTCTTTCCCGGTGCAATGGGAAGTACTGGGGTCTCATCACCTTTACAATCTGCTGCTATGCCCTCGGTCTTGTTTGCGTTACTGCAGCCAAGTTGGTCCGTGTCGGCTGGCGCCAGGCTTTCGTGATCTACTAAACTATGACATAGATTGGTATCAATCTTACTTCCCAGTCTAATAAATAATATCATTTTTGGGGGCTTTGAGCCACATCGCAGAAACATTAGGTATAGATATGCATGCAGCTGCCCATTCGCGACACCATGAGGCGAGCCGGACGTCTGTTTGCGGACTTCACTTCCGACGAAGTCTGCCTAACAAACCTACGGCGGCCAACCATCACACATGTCTGTTGTCATGATGAGCAATTTAAGCTCATTGGATTGTGATCTGAGGGGTCGGAAGGAAATTACACATCGCTTCCCGGAATACATAGAGACGAAGTCATCAGAGTTCATATATATGCCACTTCTTCCATGACATGAGACGTTCTGGCCTGCCAGCCTTGCTTCACGTTTTGCCCTCGGTAAACACCCTTCGGAAAGATCAACATTATTGCCAGCCTACGATGCCTTCCTCCAAGCAGATTCTAGCAGTGGTCTTGACCTCCTGGGCTCTTGGCCCCCGCGTAGCAGCTGTTCCTCAGTATCCAGGAATCCTTGCAGGAAATCCTGGGTCTCTCTCCACAACAGGAACCAAATCTTCGAGTTCCGTGTCTGCATCTCAAGGAGGGAACTCCACCTCGAGCACGCCCGTTTCGTCTTCTGAGAGTGTCGTGCATCCGTCTCACTCAGCCACACCGAGTGCCATACCTCCATATGGGGACGGAGACCATGGAGATGCTCGTCCAATCCACCCATTCCCCCCTGCTATCTCACTGACGGCTACACCCACGTCGTCCGAGGCTGTTCACATCCCCCCTGGAGTGGTGCCTTCCGCCTCTGAGCCTGTTATACCTCCACCACACCCATTCCCCTCCGTGCCTCACGACGGCGTCCAGGAAACACCTACACCTCATGACGGTACTCCTGAGCATATCCCACGTCCTCCTCTCTCCAGCAGCAGCAGTATTCACGTCACCTCGTCAGGAGGCATCGTGCACCCCACTCACTCCCTCCCGGTTTCAGATCCTAGCAAGATTGCATCTTCCGACAGCAGTTCGGCGAAGATCCTGCCCGAGCCCACGCCTTGGCCGAAAGAAAGCGAGCCTGCATGTCCATCTGTGCAGTGTCCACCCTGTCCCTCAGTCCACACGGTCACAGTAACCGTGAGCGGCTCCAGCTCCAGCTCCAGCAGCAGCATCAGCAGAAGTACAGTGCACATCCTCACCCCGAGACATGCATTAATCAACCACGGCAGCGGTGTCCTACCAGCCAGCTTCACTCCAAGCGCGACTCCCAACAACACCTACGACGAAGTGGAGGCCGAAGAGGAGGAGGAAGAGGAAGAAGAAGACATCCTGATCTGCGTTCTCCCCGAAGACCTCCCCATCTGTATCCCGGCATCCTCCTCCGCTGCGCCAGTGCAGCCCCCGCCGAGCAGCGGGATAATCTCCATCCTCTCCACCGCAAGCCAAGGCATCATCCCTGGGTCCCATCCCAGCCCTAGTGTCACAAGTGGTGGCGGCGGTATCGAGACAAAAACCCCGCGACCAACACGCACAATCACCACACGCACGCGCACACGCACTCGCACTCGCTGCCGCACCATTCGACCGCCACAGACAACCCTATCGAAGATCCCATCATCCAGCAGCAGCAGCATCGTCCCCATCCATCCATTCCCCATCCCGGGCCCCGGTCCCGCGCCAATCCCTACCTCCCTGCCCCGTCCACCACCCGCAACCTTCCCGATTCCCACCTCCTTCCCCATCCCCCCCACTTCTCTCCCTGTCCCTCACCCTCCACTCCCCACAACAATGCCCATCCCCTTCCCCATGCCCCATTTCCCACCCGAAGTCGAGCAAGAAGAAGAAGAAGAAGAGCCATCAGAGTCGTCATCACATGCACCACCACATCCCCCGGCCCCTCCTCCTTCGCCGTCCTCTTCTTCCACTCAAACGCCCACACACATCTCCTCCACCACCGTCACGGGATCATTCTTCGCCCCGTCTCCTTCTTCTTCCCGGGCGTCATCATCATCATCGTCGTCGTCATCCCGTCCCTCACAGCCACCACCACCACACCCGCCAGCACCAGCTCCAGCTCCAGCAGCAGCCCCAGCAGTCCCAGCGGGACACCTACCCGCACGCCACCACGAGTTCCGATTCCCAGTGATCCGGCGGGATCTTGGAGACGCCTTGGCCTAATCCGATCTTATCACTTGGAAATTCTTCGCAAGTCAAAGGGGCGGTGTGTGTGTTGGGTTCGTAGTATCGCCGGGGCTTTGGGGGGCAGCGAACAAACGCTCATTGTGATGATTATGATCATGTGATACTCTTGTTTTCCCTCGTTTCCTCGTTTCTTCTCTTCTAATCTTGTTTCTGTCTCTCTGTTTCCCAATCTGGACTCTAATCTAATATTCCTCATCAATACCGGAGGGGTCGCGGTAACTGAAACGAAAAAAAAAAAGTTTGCTTCTTCTTTAATGCACGCACGCCACGCCTCGCCAGGCTAGGCTATCGATCGCTTGCTAGTTCATCGTCTTCCGGGTGGTAAGTTATTGATTTATGATATTGATGCCGGCTTGCAATATCCACGATGCTTATGATATCCATGGTACTCCGTGATACGCACAGTATTTTCGTTATATTCATAGTATTGATAGCAATTGCAGTACAGTGCAGTGCAGTGCAGTGAGTGCAGTCTAGGAATTCGAAACCAAAACCCACTTTACCCTGCTAGCCATAAAGTTGAATTAAGAAATAGGAGGGAGGGAGGGAGTTACAGTATCGGGGACGACTGTACTGTACTCGCTATTAATGGATATTCTAAGAATCAGAGATATGGAAATTTTTCTAGCTATTCCCCACACGCACACTCTAGCTTTTCGTTCGCCCGCGACAATTATCATGGATACCTTGTACTTCTTCGGTCCGAATATAGATTGAATGTCTGACTCAAATCCCATCTCCTGATGGGGCTAGAAGCGGAAGGAAGTGAATATAGCCCGGTTTAAATACAATACAGATTCTGAGACGGAAGAATGGCACATGCCGCTCAATATAGAAAAAAGTAGAAGAGGGAAAAAAGGGCTAAAACATGAAGGATGATGCCGGAAACACATCAATATAATAAAGATTTAAGATGGTGGAAAGTGGAAAAGGTGGAGACAAACATATGCAAGAGAAATAAAAAAAAAGTTGCAACCAGTTACAGACATACAGGGAGATTTTGGTGGGTGTGGTTGCGGAGTCAAACTCATGCCAATCTTCATTCCATGCAAACATGTAGTATATTTCAGGACAGAAATTGAAAAGGGCAGCCCGCCGCCTCCCCCTCCAACCCTTCTCGCTCCCACCAAGTCATAGAAAAAATTTCCATGCGCCGCAAAACACCACACAGAGACACATGGGCCTTACAGATCACAGTCACAATCCGAAATCAGACAAAAAATATAGTATACGCGGAAAAACGTGTCAGATACAACGCATAAATGGCCATGGCTGGAACTGTCGACAATGGTTACTCGCAACAAGACGTATGCAAAGATGGAGGATTCGACCGAGAAGCAAGAGAAAGAGGAGGGGGGAAATGGCAAGAGCTGGGTATGTTCAGTCACACATGAATTTCAGGGAGTTAGGTTCCCAAGATCTACATGTGCAACTGAAACGATGCGAAGGAGGAATGTTGAATGAAAGACGTAGAAGTCACCATACCAGTGAACATTTCGTACAGGCGCGCAAAGGGATAGGGTATATGATTTGCATCGAAGCCACTCGAAAGATGAAAAAGAAAAAAGCAAGCGGAATGGAAGAATCTTGAAATCGTCTCACGAGCTGTTGGACCGCAACAGTGCCTGTGATTCGGTCAGTATAAGCAAATTTTTTGTGATTCCGTGAGCAAGCTTACCCTCTCCATGGTCAGGTCTTCCTTCTCCAGAGTCGGGCTTGCCAGACTACCGCCGTTCATGGCGCCTGATGCGGTCAAGGCTCTCGCCTCCATACCTGGGCGCTGATGCTTGCCATCGGCGGGGCTGTGATGGACGGGATGCATCTCGCCGCTGCTGGAGATTCGCGATTCTTTGCTCTTTTCCAGAAGGGAACCACCTAGGGTAGCACACTTCAAGATGGTCTGCATCATTTGGTTCTGCTTCAGAGGCTTGGACAGATACTCATCCATCTGGGCTTGGATACACTTCTCTCGATCGCCCAACATGGCGTGCGCCGTTAACGCGATGATAGGAGTTCGGCTGAGGCCGCTCTCCCTCTCGTACTCACGGATCTTTCCGGTGGCTTCGAACCCACCCATTACCGGCATCTGCACATCCATCAAGATGACATCGTAGCGACGCTGCTTCACAGCTTCGACGGCCTCGAGACCGTTACTGACAACAGACACGTTGTGGTTGTGCTTCTCCAAAATCTTGACGGCCAATTTCTGATTGACGTCATTGTCTTCCGCCAAGAGAATGTCGAACGAGCGAGAATGGTCGGTCGTGATGGGCGTGGAACGGCCCTCCAAAGCAGGCAGCATACCATTGCCGAGATCGATTGGTTGACATGGCGTCGTCATGTATGAGCTGATACCGAGGTCAAGGGCGGACTTCAAGCTGACACACACCAAGGGGCAGACGAGGACAATAGGTACATATTTGAAGTCATCGAATGTCCGCAGCAGTCGGGCAGTCGCCACAGAGTCCACGATAATCACATCGTAAGCATGGCCGGACTCCTTGCCAGAGGGATCTTGGATTTCCGGTGGCGGTACGTGGTCCTCATTGCGCACAACAATAGGCTCTAAGTCGATCTGCTTGAGCATTTTCATAACATTCTCGGCCTGACCACCGTTCTCTCCCTTGTCAATGAAGAGGACCCGATGGTGCTTGTACGGCATGAGTTGCGACGCAATGACACTCAAAGACTGGTCGGCTAATTTCACGACGCAGGTGAAATGGAATGTACTGCCGTGACCATACTCGGACGTGACCCAAACATCACCACCCATCAAGTTCACCAAACGCTTTGAGATGGACAATCCGAGACCAGTTCCACCGAATCTCCGCGTTGTCGAGCCATCCGCTTGCTGGAAAGTGTCGAAGATGAGATCCAGCTTGTCCTCCTCAATACCAATTCCTGTATCGGATACTGAGAACTCAAAAGCATACTCGTCGGCTGCACATTGCTCTCTATCGGATTTGCAGATGGTGAGTTTCACCTCACCATGCTCAGTGAACTTAATTGCATTGCCGACCAAGTTCAAGATAATCTGGCGCAGACGGAAAGGATCACCAATGACATAGTCAGGAACAGTGTTATCGACCTGGTACGTGAGACTGAGGAATTTCTCATTGGCCTTCACCGCTAGGGTCTTCAGAGCATTGAAGACGGTTCCCCTCACAGTAAACGGAATGCTTTCAATGACCATGCGGTTCGCCTCGATCTTCGAGATATCGAGTATGTCGTCAATGATGGTCAGTAAACTGTTGGCAAGATTGTGTACAACATTCAGCATCTCGCGGGTATAAGGCTTGAGGTCGTCCGTATCCAGCGTCAACTGCGTCATACCGATGATACCGTTCATTGGAGTCCGGATCTCGTGACTCATATTTGCCAGGAACTCAGACTTGGTGCGGTTAGCCAGTTCGGCCGCCTCCCTAGCAGCCGTGTTACGCTGAATACTGTCCCGGAGGTTGGAAACCATCTTGTTGATCTTGCGCTTCAACTCGTCCATCTCACCGGAAGCGTTGACCGTGATAAGCTTGGTGAAATCCCCGTCGGTTGCAGCATCGGTGATCTCACCAAAAGCACGCACTTGAGAGGTCAAGTTCTCTGCCATGGTATTCACGTCCTCCGTGATCTCCTTCCAGGTTCCAGCGATTCCTTCCACATTAGCTTGACCACCCATCTTGCCGTCGACCCCGACATCGCGTGCGACCTTCTTCAGCTCGGTTGCGAATTTAGCCAGTCGGTCCACCATGTGATTGATGGTAACTTTCAGCGTCAGAATTTCTCCCTGGGCATGCACCTCAATTTTCTTGCTAAGATCACCCTTGGCAATAGCTTGTGTCACGTCCGAGATACTTCGCACCTGGGAGGTCAAATTCTGGGCCATGGTGTTTACGTTGTCGGTGAGATCCTTCCACTTTCCTTCGACATTATCGACCTTGGCCTGACCACCCAATGTACCGTCTGTGCCGACTTCGCGAGCGACCTTGCTGACTTCAAAGGCGAAGGTGTTCAGCCGGTCCACCATGCCGTTGATCGTGCTCTTCAGGTCGAGTATTTCACCCTGAACGTTGGCGGTAACCTTCTTGGTCAAATCACCCTTGGCGACAGCAGTGGTGACATCTGCGATTTCTCTGACCTGGGTCGTCAAATTGTTGGCCATGCGGTTGACATTCTCCGTCAGATCCTTCCATGTGCCCTCCACATCATTGACAGTTGCTTGACCACCAAGAACACCATCCGTACCGACCTCCTTCGCGATCTTAGTGACTTCCTGGGCGAACTGCCGCAATTGGTCCACCATGGAATTTATAATGTTTTTCAACTCCGCGATTTCTCCTTTGCAGTTGGCCTGGACCTTCTGCGTCAAATCACCCTTTGCGACCGCCTTGGTGACTGTTGCAATGTCACGCACTTGCGTAGTCAAATTGTTTGCCATGGCGTTGACGTTCACCGTGAGTTCGTTCCACATGCCTTGTACCCCTTCAATCTGAGCCTGTCCACCAAGAACACCTTCTGTACCGACATCACGCGCGACCCGCGTGACTTCCGTGGCAAATGTCCGAAGTTGGTCAACCATAGTATTGATCGTCTGTTGAAGTTCCAGAATTTCACCTTGCGCCCGACTTTCAATCTTCTGACTCAAGTCTCCGTGGGCGACTGCCGTGGTGACTGCGGCAATTTCACGGACCTGATCAGTGAGATTCTTGGCCATTATGTTGACGTTCTCGGTCAATTCCTTCCAGATACCATGCACCCCTGTGATCTGCGCCTGGCCGCCGAGGATACCTTCCGTACCGACCTCGCGTGCGACTCGGGACACTTCGCTACCAAAGACTTGCAACTGGTCCATCATAGTGTTTATCGTACGTTTGAAGGTGGCGATTTCAGGGTCCATTTCCAAGGGGTGGATCTGCACCTTCATCGACAGGTCACCATTGGCAACCTGCGTGATGATCCCTCCAATTTCCCGTAACGCTTTCTGGAAAGCCTCGTTGGCCTGTTGGTGCTTACGTAGCTCTCGCTCCAATAGCACGACATCTTCGTTTTCCACCTTGGTGAGAGCCCTGCGAGTCTGTTCCTCCTGCTGCTGTAACTCGTCCCGAACTTGAGCGATGATGTCCTTCTGGAAGCTTATTTCCTCCGCTTGTTTCTGCACATGATTTCGTAAGTAACTGATATCCTCCTCGCGTAC